AATAATTAAAATTTTCATAAAAACCAGTATATATAAATTAAAGTGTGTGGTTTCAATTCAAATCTAATTAATAAAGAGACCATATAAAACCTCCAGGTTGAGTTCAGTATCTATCCTCATATTTCTCTTTATCAGGCATAAAGTAATCAGTCTGATGGTATCAATAGGCTCCAAATATCCTGCATCACATCATCAGTCACTGACCTTGCAGGAGAAGTGGTGGTGGACAGCCAGACTCAGAGCTTGCTTCTTTAGAGCAACTAGAGCTGCAGAGCACTTCTCACAGCACGCAACTTTCCTGTCGGACCTCCCAGATCCGGGATGCAGAGCAGACGCAGAGCCCCTGAACGCTGTCCCACTTCCAAACGACATCCTGATGCGTTCCCCCAGCGAGCCTGGAAGGGACTTGTAGGAGGGGACCTCCCTGCTGCACATATCCCGGTGAGGAGCCCTGGGGAGTGGGGCGCTCCTCTGGCTGGCACTGTCTCCTGATGCTGGACGCAGAAAAGGAGTCACAGTGATGCTGCACTGCTGGGCTCTAAGAAATAAAACATTACAAAGAGGATGAATGTGGGCTTAGGCAGAGGGAAATTAGATATCAATCGACGTGGGCAACTCTAACCACACCCTAATGTTTTTTTGTTGTTGTTTGTTTTGTTTTTTTATCCTGGAGCAACATGGTGCGCTCCATCTAAAAATAAAAAAAATCTAATAACCTTGCATCTTCTTCAGTTTTCCAGTGTCTCTAAACAATAAATGAACCTTGCTTACCCAGTGCGCTCCTCGGATCGCAGATGAAAATCTCTCCCTTCTTCCAGTTACAGAGGACATAACTTGTAAATATTTAAAAAGATTGTCCAACAAAGGCGGGGCGCATTTTTAGGTATTTCAGCCAAATCTCCGAATATCAAAAAGATATGCTGCAAAATCATCTTAGATTTTTTTTTATTTTTTTTTTAGAAAACTTTCCCAAAAAGAGACCGGTTGGACGCTCCAAATGAAGAGGTGGTGTGATGACAGCAGCGCAGAGGAACAAGGAGTGAACGCACAGTAGAGCGCTGCCTCTACTCACCCTGCAGTTCATCTCAACTCCTCGAGGGGGCACTAATGAGCAAGTGCTTCGACGCTGCAAATGGGGCATCATGCAACAATCACATACAAAAATGCATGAGACGTTGATATTTTTACTTGACTCATTTCAGTATATTTGCAACCCCCCTGAATCCTGGTATATATATAAGTTGCAAGTGTGAGAAACAAAATGATGTGCCAAATTTGGACAGCCATTGTACAAAGAGATAAAGTGTAACTCATATTTGTTTATATTCTACTTACATTTGATAAGATTTTTCTATTTATGGACATCAGTCATGGAATGTTTATACTGTTGTATGATTTATCTTATTAAAATGCTAAAAAAAAAATTACACCCAAATAATTACAGAAGCTGGAGCAAATACTTCCTTGTGCAAAAATGTGAATGTTTCACTATGAACAAAAAGGGTGTAACGTCTCATCTCTTTCAGAGTAGCACCCTCACCC